GCTGCCTCCTGCACACCCCCTACTGGGGATGTGCCCGAAACCGAGGTACATGCCCTTGACCAGAATCGAACCTGGGACCCTTCAGTCCGCAGGCCGACGCTCTATCCACTGAGCCAAACCGGTCAGGGCCTGAGGATATTTTTCGTTGATTTTTAGCGAGAGTAGAAGGGAGGGGGTGAGAGACAGAGAGAGAGAAACTTTGATGTGAGAGAGACACATCAACTGGTTGCTCCCACCTGGGGCCGAGCTTTGAGCCTGCAGAGGAGGCACGGGCCCTTGATCAGAATCCAACCTTCGACCCTTCAGTGCGTGGGCTGACGCTCTAACCACTGAGCAACCGGCCAGGGCTGTTCATTTTTTGTTGTTTTTTTTTTAAAACCTGCTTAATAGCCGAAACCGGTTTGGCTCAGTGGATAGAGCGTCGGCCTGCGGACTGAAGGGTCCCGGGTTCGATTCCGGTCGGGGGCATGTGCCTGGGTTGCGGGCGCCTCCCCAGTAGGAGTGTGCAGGAGGCAGCTGATCGATGTTTCTCTCTCATCGATGTTTCTAACTCTCTATCTCTCTCCCTTCCTCTCTGTGAAAAATCAATAAAATATATATGAAAAAAAAACAACCTGTTTAATAAAACCAATGGAATTGAGTTGAAGGTTTCACGTATCTTCTTGAATTTATATATTTGAGTTAAAATTTACATGGATAGATTTTAATATATTGTTAGTGTTATCGTTGCGACATACGCCTGCCCTAGATGTAGTAATCATTGCGTTCTTCTTTGAGATGGAAGCCAAGGAAATGTAACCTTCTGACGTCCAGCTGTTTAATTATTCGAGCAGCCTGAGGTTTTCACTTAAATACACAAACAGTATTTTAAAAAACTAGTTAAACCACAGTAGCCTTATGCGTTGCCCATGTAGCATTTTTGGATAAATATAACTTCAGATCTATAAAATTCTTCCCCCAAATTACTTATATTTTCTCAGAGTTGCCCTCCCACCTTCTTCTGCCCCCAAAAGACGAGAAGTCTTTGCCCTGTAAAGTGTTAAACATTAGCGTATGGCTTACTATGGCAGGATTTTTACGTTATTATGTTAATTTTCTAAAGAAGGAAAGAATTCCAAGCTGTTCGCCAGCCAAGTTCTATATTCTCATTTATGCAAACAGTTAAGTGTCTATTTATATTTTAACTTAAAATGCTTTTTTTTAATTTTGTTGTTGTTGTTACTGATGACATGGGATTAATATATTTTTATATTTCCTTCATGTGGTTATCAAAATAGCAGAGTCTTAGGAAACCTAATGAAATATATCACTATAGTTGCCACCTAGTTTGTCTTTAGAGGACAAATTAAATGATGAACGTAAAAATATGTGTAAAGAGATGAGGAAAAAATTAGTAAGTTCAGATCGAATTATTGTATTTTTTTTTTTTACATGGGATAAACCAGTTCTGTATGACATTTGAATGAGCCTTATTCTTCCAGTGGTGACGTTCACTCCACTAGTATAAAATACTTTGTGCTGTGACTTCGTAGATGATAAGCATTTACTTTAGAAGCGTTTATTAACTCTTTTTTTTATACTAGTGGTTTACGAAACACTTTTAAAAATATCTAAGAGGCACTTGCAGGCACACTGGAATTCATAGACATGTACAGCATGTCATTACTCATATATTTCTCTCCAAGAGTGGAAGATAGCTACTTCTTTATTCCCTTGTTTAATGGATTAGATTTCAAAACTGGTCTTTTGTAACCGTCGGTCTGTTAGGTCCAGCATTTATCTCATTTTATGACACATTTTGTTTTTCTATCCAGAGACATTAAAATGTCCCATAATTTAGTGGCATTCTTTATCAGATGCTAAAAATAGGTCTGCCTTGTACATGACACATCAGAATGGATGGTCATTAAGGTTTCTCATGGCGGAACCATGCAAATTTGAATATAGGGTCTGTCTTTTTTTTTTTTTAAATACCCCAGATGAAAAGTAACATTACCTCTGTTATCTTAAAAATTCAGACAAATAGGTTAATTATATATTAAGCTTAGCCAATGTTTTGTTTTTATTTTATTTATTTTTTTACCAGTGCTCAATGCCAGGCCATTAAAATAAGAAGGGAAGCTTTAATTGAGCAAATTGGATAAATGCACTAGCACAGTGGTTCTCAACCTTCTGGCCCTTTAAATACAGTTCCTCCTGTGGTGACCCAGCCATCAAATTATTTTCGTTGCTACTTCATGACTGTCATGTTGCTACTGTTATGAATCGTCATGTAAATATCTGCTATGCAGGATGGTCTGAGGCGACCCCTGTGAAAGGGTCGTTCGACCGCCAAAGGGGTCGCCGCGACCCACAGGTTGAGAACCGCTGCACTAGCATCTACCAGTCTAATAAGAAGGTTCTCATGCTCTCTCTCTCCTGTTTTTCATTTCCAGTGTTCTATTTAGGTGAGTTTTAAATTCCGATTTTTTTCATTTTTTTAAGTTCTCCACTTCATGAGCCAGTCCTCCTGGGAGAATGTTTCATTGTCTTAGAAATGTCAAGCTTAGGCGCCTCCCCAGCTGCTCGTTGAATACTTGTTTGCCTCCAGCTCTTCATATATAAATGTTCATTTTCCCTTCATTGTGGACGTTTCCCATTTGTTTCAAGTAAGCCTTTGGATATGATGACAGTATGACGTTTGCAGTCTCTCATTTGCTGTTGTGTTATGGAAAGCTTACGTTTTATTTTGCTAAGCAAAAAGAAGACACATTTGTAGCTATGTGATGGTTTTTATGTTATTCTCATGGTCTTCTCTCTAGCCAGCTAAATATCCAGATGATGTTTACCTATAATGTTCTTCCTCCCTTTTTTAGGGCCAACATTGCCTAGACAAAATTCACAACTTCCTGCCCAAGTTCAAAATGGCCCATCACAAGAAGAATTGGAAATTCAAAGGAGGTAAAGTTATCAGTTCTTGTTTATACTTTTTCATTCTGCTGTGGGAGGTCAAACCCCAAACATCCTCATATTGAAAACAGATAATATCTCATTAGTCACTGGAAAGTCAAAAATTGTATTGTTACACCATTAAGTGCTGTAATCACCAATAATAAACGAGAAGATTCTTGCTATGCTGCACAACAGATGTTAAGAGAATTATAATTTCCTATCTGCTTAATTGTAAAAATCGTATTCGTGTAGGTTTAAATATTTTAAACAGCATGGACATGTCTTTGTACCTCCAAGAATCTTATTTTTAAAGGAGTAAAAAATTAATCTGTGATCCTTGTGGCTTTCACGGGACTAACTTAACTAGAAAGTTGAAATAGTGCTGGCCATTTGTAGAAGGTGAACTTGAGGAGAGGCTACCATTGGGTGTAGCAGTGGAAGACAAAACCGTTCTGTTGATGACGAGACGGCTGGTGGAGTGAGATCAATAACATTATCTTCTATATTTCAATACATTTTATAAATATGCTAGGAATAATGAGCAGAACCTCGGAATGGTAAGCTGCTTTGTAACCAAATAGTTTTCTAGAATTCAGGTATGGTCCGTAACTAAAATTGGGCTAGTCGAGCCATGTCTCATTTTAAACACGTGAAGACGTGTTGGGAGTTGGATGAGACCTGTCACTGGGGGGTCACCCTGTTTTGAGGAGTTGAGAATCGTTGTGTGGGTGCGTTTTTCCAACTGAAAAGCATTTGCTCCAGGACAAGCCAGCATTTCCTCTCGTGACCTTCGATTTGGCTCTCAGATGTGAAACATTCCTCGTATTCTCCGTGTTGTCTTCATACATGTTTCCCTGACAAACAAAGGAATCTCTTGCCATGTTACGTGTCTGCTGCGTTGGTGTAAAACTACTTATCTCTGAGGAAGGCTCTCTAGAATCTCCCAGAATGATTTTTTTTTTTTTTTGGCCAAAGCCTAATTATTCAGGTAAGCGTTGGTGTAAAACTACTTATCTCTGAGGAAGGCTCTTTAGAATCTCCCAGAATGATTTTTTTTTGGCCAAAGCCTAATTATTCAGGTAGATTACTCCTGAAATAGCCTCCAAAGTTGGTGAAAATCTTAATCTAACTCTTTGGAGTGATGCTATAATGAACAGATTTGATAAATAGAATTAAGTTTCTATAGAAATAGGAAAGCTCAAAAGATATAATCATTTCAGTTCCATATTGAGAGTTTTAAAGATTTTTTTTTTTGGAAAATATATTTTTATTGGTTTCAGAGAGGAAGGGAGAGGGAGAGAGAGTTAGAAACATCAATGATGAGAGAGAATCATGAACCGGCTGCCTCCTGCACGACCGTTACTGGGGATCGAGCCCGCAACCAGGGCATGTGTCCTTGATCAGAATCAAACCCAAGTCTCCTTCAGTCTGCGGGCCGACGCTCTGTCCACTGAGCCAAACCGGCTAGGGCCCATATTGAGAGTTTTAAACATGCCAGAATAATTCCAAGAGTTAGAAACACACACACACACACACACACACACACACACACACACACACACCAGGAAAGTAATGAATAAAAAATGATTATAGTCTTACTGAGACTTCACCATGTGTAGAGAACTAGGAAGAGCCCGGAGAAAACCCAAAACATAAAATCCATAATTTCGGTGAATACGCAGTGGGCAAGCAAGTAATCGGAGACCGTGGCTGCGGGCCAGGGCACTGAGGGATAGAAACAGACACCGTCCAGGGGACGGCTGGCTCTGTGGGTCACAGGTGTGTGATCCCGGGCACAGAGGGTTGCCAGGAACCTGCGGCGTGCGAGTGTAGCTGGCAGTGAGCATCGGTGGATTTTTAGTTGTTATGCAAACTCCGTGCCTCTTCGATGTCTTTTCTCCAGACCAAGGGCCAGCCCTAGCAGTGCTCATCTGGACTTGGGGTTTTTCTGTCTGTGTGTAAGTGGATCCCTGAGGGTTTGAACATGGGAGCTGTTGTTTATGTTGCCTGCTTCTTGCGTTGAAGACTGTAGCGTGGTCATTTTGAAGGGTGAAATCCCCATTTCTGAAAAAATGGTATGGGGTGTGTGTTTTTTTTTTAAGTTATTTCCTGTCCACAGCCATGCACAGACGCTTCCTCCTTTTAGGTAACCCTTCGGAACCAATTTCTTTCCCTCCCCATGTTAATTTCATCTCGATTCCTTCACTCTCCACCCATTTCCTTTTTAATCTCAACGAAATTTGCTTCGTGTCTCCCACAAACCTACTGCATATGCTGCTTCACTTCCAGGTTAAATTTCCTACCTTCCTTTCAATAATACGATGGTGTCTCTTCTTTTTTGCTAATTCTTCTCCCTTTCTATTCTTTTCTGTGCCTATTTTTTTAAAACTTGTACAAGATTGTTATTTTATTTAATTTTTGTACCTCTTTTTTTATAGATAGATATGAGGCGTTGCACTCAGCTCTCTCTTTTCTTTCTGTACACAGTATACCCTTTGAAAAATTAATGATTTGGTTGGATGTTGTACTTTTCTCGTAACTCCTTGAGGCTGATGGCTTCCAGAGCTGTAGCTCCCACTGTGGTCCAGTGCGCATGAGGTCCAGACCCAGGTTTCCAGCTAAATGGAGTCAGTAGTCATGGATCCTTTTGAGAATTTGGTGAAAGCAGTAGACTACTGCCCTCTTCTGTCCGGACCCCAACCCTTCCCGTGCGTGTGCCACCGGGCAGGGCCCCCCCGTGCCCCCCGCGATCGCTGCCACCAGCTGGCACCGCCCAGCAGAGCGGGGAGGGCGGTGTGGATCCTTTAGGCCAGAGCACCATCTCCTTCCTAACGTAGGGAACGTTAAAGGGGTTTTGTTTTCTGCCGGGTGAACTGCATGGGGAGGATCCAGGTGAGGAATGGCCACGTGGGGCTAGATCAGCTGTGTGTGTGTGTGTGTGTGTGTACATTTACATGCAAACCTGCATACGGTTTCAGACGGTCACAGACCCCCTGACTTCCAACAGCGAGAATTCCTACATTTGGGTGTCCTACTGACACCTCCGTTTAACCCTTATGATTTCGTTCTTTTTTTAAAAAAAATACTTTATTGATTTTTTACAGAGAGGAAGGGAGAGGGATAGAGAGTTAGAAACATCGATGAGCGAGAAACATTGATCAGCTGCCTCCTGCACACCCCCTCCTGGGGATGTGCCCGTAACCAAGGTACATGCCCTTGACCGGAATTGAACCGGGGACCCTTTGGTCTGCAGGCCGACGCTCTATCCACTGAGCCAAACCAGTCAGGGCATGATTTCGTTCTTAATGCAGATTTCTCCTCTTTCATGTTTCAGCTTAGAAAGTCTGTTAATATCCTCATTCATAGTCTCTCTCTATACCTTGTTATTTTTCCCCCCTAAAAGCCATTGGGATTCTCATTACTAATAGCTGTCTCCAGTATTTATTCTCTTCTGTACTGTTATAGTTTCTAGGTGATTTTTCTGTCTTGCACTAAGATCCCTTTCTGTTAGTCCTACTTTACTACTGGGAGGTTAATTTAAAAAAAAAAAATTTTTTTTTTTTTTTTTTTGCACACAGCAAAGAAAATCTCGCCCAGTACAGGAGGGTTTAAAACAGGGACGGGTACTCTGCTACGGGGCTGGGCTCCTTCCCTCATTTTAATCCCCAGGATGAATGAGTCCCTTTGAAGCATTTTTACTTTTAGTGATTTCCTAATAACACTAAGTACATATGCTTATGTTTTTCTATTTCTTTATTGATCAGCTTATAGGCCAGTGATGGCAAACCCTTTGAGCTCAGCGTGTCGGCATTTTGAAAAACCCTAACTTAACTCTGGTGCCATGTCACATATAGAAATGTTTTGATATTTGCAACCATAGTAAAACAAAGACTTATATTTTTGATATTTATTTTATATGTTTAAATGCCATTTAGCAAAGAAAAATCAACCCAAAAAAATGAGTTCGCGTGTCACCTCTGACACGCATGTCATAGGTTCGCCATCACTGTTATAGATAGTAGCTGTTAACTCTCCACAGTGAAAAAATGAAGATTTCTTCCCTTCCCTTGCCAGTGGTTAGTTCCGCTGTTGGTTTCTTTTTCAAATCGAATCTGCCTTAGTCTCTCGAACTCTCCATTTTTTAAGAGGAATACAGTTGTTTTGCACACTTTCCTGCCCCTTTTCTGCCGTTCTACCACCTGGATTTGGCAGATGAATCGCTTCTCTATTTTCAGTGTGTTGTACATTGGCATTTGCAGTCTTTCTGGAAAGGTCATTAAACTGAAAATTTTTTTTAATTAAAAATTCTAGATGACAGTTTATACTCTATTATTTTTTATTTGTTTCCGTTGTATAGCACAGTGGTTAGCCAAACATATACTTTACAAAGTGTTCTCCCTCATACTTCCATTTCCCACGGGGCTCCATACATCGCTGTTACAATATTAATGACTATATTTCCTGTGCGGTACTTTACAAACTGGCATCAATCTTTGCCTTTCTGTGTGCAGGTGACCTCACCCCTTGCCCTTGAATTCTTTTAAACCTTCGTATGAACCATTGGTAGTCTGTTTTCACAAAGATGTGACTAGATATGATTTTTAGTGTTTTGGATTTTTATCCCATTTTATTTAGCTCAGTACTTAGTAAACCTTTTCCAAGACTTACCCAAAACTCTTAGATTTTTTAAAAATTTATTTCTTTAACCATTTCGTTCTCTCTGATTTCTGTGGTCTTTGGGGGGGGGGCGGGGGGCATGTACTGGTCAGATGCTGGACCTCCTGTGCTTTTCCTAATGATACTTTCCCCTTTTGTGCCTTTTTTGTTCTGTATTCTTGGTGATATATTTTTTTAAAATATATTTTATTGATATTTTTACGGAGAGGAAGGGAGAGGGATGGAGGGGTAGAAACGTCGATCAGCGGCCTGCTGGACGCCCCCGACTGGGGAGGTGCCCGCAACCAAGGTACACGCCCTTTGACTGGAAGCGAACCTGCGACCCTTCAGTC